TCAAACCAAAATTCTCAATTCCATACTCAATGTTCCCAACCATGGATTTATTCCATTTCACCAATTCACCCATAATTCCGTAATTCCGGCATGCGCCTCATTCATTTATCCCTTCTGAAGGAAAGGGGTAACAAGGAAGGTTGGAAAAAAATGCAAAAGAAAAAATCCAGTTGCCGGTATATCAGGTCCGGGTGTCTTCCGTCAGCGACTAACTCTGTGTGGAAACAGAAGAAAAGAAAAGAAAGAAAAGAAAGCGGGAAAATACAAATGAGCAAATAGATCAAATGGGCAAAATAGTGCAAAACATGATTTTCCCAAGCCAGGGTAACTCCAACAAAACACCATGCGTGAAGAACGAAGGCGATAAAAAGAGTAAGTAACCTAGGGAGTAAAAAGGGCAAGTCGTAAACCCAATGCAGGAATATGAACATGACGTCCAACCCTGAATTACTCCAATAGAAGAGTCCTTCCTATGAGACTGGAGGAGAACAAAAAAGGTTGATTATCTAGAGGGAAAGCAAACTCTGCCATGAAAACGAAGATAAATGAACAATTGGAAACGCGCTTGAAATGCATTGCAAACCATACTGTAGGGGAATTAACAAGACGAGAGAGAATGGGAGATCAGAACCAGAATCAAGGGGTGAGGAAGCAGCAAAAAATTACACAAAAAAAAAGAAGGGGGGGGAGGAAAAGAAGAAAGAAAAAGAAAAAGAAGAAAGCAAGAAAGAGAGCAAAAAAACAAAAGATTCAGTTGTTGTGCAGTCAACAAAGAAGGTCAGCATGTTCTCTGTTGCCCATCAAGCGCCTGAAGCGCAACTTTCTCTCTCCAGGCCCGAGCGCACACCTCTCATCATCATCTAAGTCCGCTTCAGGAAGCCACTCATTAGGCAAATCGGGATAGTAAGTATCAAGGCGCTCCTCTATATATCGCTTCCTCGTTCGCCCGATTCCAAACTCCTGACCCCACTGGCATCGATCGAACTCCATCAATCCGCCAAACATATGATCCATATTTGCGACCCAGATCCGGCCTCCATCAGGTGTGTAGTCAGCCCCTCCAATTTCACCAAAGAAATCGTGTACTTGACGTGTCTGGTAGGTTTGTGCATTGACTATTGCAATGCGATCCGCTGGCTCGCACATCAGAAGCGTACGTGGGCCACCTCCAACAGGAGAATATCGCAAAGAACGATAACCCGCTACATCAGACTCGATAAATTGGAGTACTCGCCACATACGAGCATCCCAGATGTTGACTGTTCCATCCTGATTGCTAGTTGCAACATGGAGCATATCCGGCGACCACGCGCATGCGAACCCAAAGTCTTGATGGCCGACTAGTGGTTGCACCGGTTTTCCACTTTCGCTATCGACTATCCATGCTTCTTTAGCATCGCCAACTATAACGCGTAGTCGACCATCCAAAGAGGTGTCAGTGCAGTTAATTGCACGAGCGAACTTGTGGTTTTGGACAAATTTGTTGGTCTCACAGTCAAGGATTCGAATATATTGATCGTTCGATGATATAATTGCCTGAGGGCTACGACTCGTTCGATGCCTAACAATATCAATATGATTTGTGATTCCGTTTTGGCTTTTAGTGATATAGCCATCCACAGTGTTGTGATCGGTCACGTCACCTCTCATCGCATATTCGCCAGAGAACCCACCAACTACTGTGACACCGTGCTTCGCTTTCATGGTTGAAATTTTGACTGGCTCAAAAAAGGTCGCCGATCTTGACGGATTTGAGAGGTCTATCAGGAAATGTTTTTGGCTGTGAAACGGGGTTACTGTGTAAATTTTGGACCGATGAGCATATTGCACGGTATTCGACGATGTCACGGACATAAGATTGCGCAGTTGAAAATGGGACATTGACGCCTTGTATTTGGTATACATGGTCTTCGCCATGAAGAATTTCTCGGTCTGTGGTAGCCGCTTCGAATACTAACTCATAGATTAATCATTTATCCCAACAATGTAAAAAAAATATAATAAAAGATCTTACCCCGTGAGGATTGAATATCAAATTACGGTAGCCTTTGTACCAGCTATCACGAAGGATCCTAGCATCGGACCTCCGGACACTCATCCTTTTTGACCAAGGAATATTCTGAATATCATAAACCTTAAATTGGTGCTTCTCAGGACGCGTTATCTTGTGGGGACGAGGCCAATACGAGACGTCTGCTGCTGCATCTGATATCGTGACGTGTGGTCGATCCTTCAAAGCAAGCTGCTCGAGAGGTACTCTTGATCGAATAAGCCATTGCTTAATGAACATCTCGACTGTTAGATTCTTCTCGAACGCTGGAAATTCAAGTCCGTTAGCAAGTGTGTATGTATGGCCATCGCATGGAGCGAGAGGGGCCGCTAGAAGACTGCTGGCAATATGGGCACTGAAGTATTTTAAAACCAATGACGGAGGGACGAAGTAAATTGACTCTTCAGAGGGGCCGTGCATGTAAGTATACTGGTCCTCAGTTAGAAGAGCATCAGGGCGTGTAACTGCAGCAATTCTCCGGCTTGGTGGGGTGATTTGTGGAGAGGCTGAAGTCCTGGGCCAGGGCAGTGTTTGATATAATACAAAGTGTGGTGATTCTTTTGTATGATCATGAGATTTCAAAAAAGCGTCCGTCATGTGAAGACCAGCAAGGAAAGTGATCGTTGTGTCATTGACGAAAAGGGCATTATAGGAATCACGAAATAAGAAGAATCCTTTAGATGGTGTTGCAAAAATTGAGAACTGAGAAATGAAATTTGACACGGCTAGCAACATGATGCTATCAGCTTGGGGGTGAAATTCTTGACGTGGGTCGACGGAAGGTCCAGAAGGATATTCAAAACATTTCATGTTACCAAATGCACGATGGATGATTTGTTGGGCCTTTCCAAGGGCTTGAACATTTAACGGAAGAAACAACGTAGAAGGTGGACTAATAAAATGTGAATCCATACTTTCAGTTTGCGGAAACCCCCCGAAATCGAGGTGATCGTCTTCATCCGCGCCGTTACTAAGGGTAAAACTTTGGATAGTGCTGTTGTCGAAGTTCGTAAAAGAAATGGGTTGAGAGCGTCCATTGGTGGTAGAGCTTTGGGCCTGATTTTGATAAACTCTACTATCATGCACATCGCTGCCAAAGTCAAACATTGGGTTACTGTGTTCTGTAGGATCACAACAAGATATTTCATCATCGGTTATGTAAAACTTTTCGGTATCGTTTATCTCCGAATTGGAATCATCGTATGTACTTCTCGAGCTGCCAAATATAGAAGGAACTCGGGGCAACCTGTCATAGGAGAAACGATATAGGTCAGAATCTTCAATGAGGGTATTGCCGTACGCCGGGATGTCCTCATCATCGGAATCTCCATCATCATCATCGTCATCATCATCATCATCATCATCATCATCATCATCATAATCATCGTAATATTCCTCACCGCTCATGGAGCCCATGTCCTCATCATCACCGTTGCTCCCCGGAGCATGAGGAAAGACGCCTGGATAGATTGGACTGGTCTCGATGTTGGTGTGATGGGCGAAGGAAGCAGAGACCATTGAGCCGGCTTCCATCGTGAAGAGGGATGAATTAGCTATCAATTGACCCGTAGAATTGGCGACACCAGAAACAGGAGCATCATTCTCAATACCAGCAGTCGAAGAAGGTAAACCTAATGGGGGATGTGATTGGCCAGAATTGTAATGCTGACGCGACTGAAAACCTGAAATTTGGGACTCAGAATTGGTCTGATGCGATTCAAGTTGAGGGGCCGAAGAAGAATGCTGCACTTGATCTAAGCTATAGAAACCTACTTGAGTGTCGTAGTCCATCTCTCCGATGGAGCTACTCGGTTCATCAAGTAAGTTGTTTAAGGGAGCAGGGCCGCCCAAAATTCCGAAGGGGTCAAGATTGTGTGAGAATGATGTTGTATCACCTTGACTTGGCAATAAACTCTGGCCCAGATTAGGATGTGCTGTCTGCTGGTCCATTGGGCCTGATTGACTGGCTGGGCTGTGTAGTTTGTTGTCGTCCGGTAGCGAGGAGTCAGTCATGACTTCCGTAGCCTGCACAAGAGACGAGGCTATTTGATCATAAAACACGTCGCTTTGGTCGACCATTATGATCGTTTGACTAGACAACGGGTCGCTACAAAGCCTTTCTCAAGTAGACACCGGATTTCATCGCGTGGGTAGTCGAGAAGCAAAGCTCTTCGCGTGTGTTTTAAATCAGTTTTGTGGGAGGATCAAGGGACTGTAGAAAAATAATAAGAACCCATCCAACAAGTTTGCCCCCTGGAAAATGCCGTATCTGCGCCTCTTTCCAATGATGTCCCGGGCATAAACTCACCGAACTCGATTCGCAAGCAGCAGTTTCCAATGCCGGTTAAAGCAGAGGGCAGATGGCGGGCTGCAAAACACGCTACGCGTCAACAAATAACCACAAAATATGACGGTGAAAAGTGACAAATCCGGTAAATAAAGCAGAGAGACGGCAAATGTATCTTATATGCAGACTTGGAAGCGCTCAGGAACCGTTGATGCAAGCTCTATGCTGAATGAACAGCTAATGACGGACAAGCAGTCAAAACCTCGGAAGAGTGCAGAAGAATTATGGAAATTCAGGAGATTTGTGGGGCCAAGCCGCCAAAGTTGGTGAAGGCGAACACAGAAGAATTTAATAATGTGTTATGCATCTACATGGAAAATATTTGAAGCCATGAACTTGAGCACAAGGCTAAATTGTCCGGTCAAACAAAATGAAAACAGAAAAGAAAGGGGAAAACAGCACCCTATTCAACATGAACATGGATATAAGGGTATGTATATCCAAGAATAAATCTTAAAACAAAAGACTGAAAATGGCGACGTCAATAGAGTAGACGGCTTACCCACTTCCGCAAGCAATGAATATCTAATTATAATGCAAGCTTTGCAACTGAAAAAGAGTTGCCAAAGGCCAAGGTTCTATCTAACAACCAAGTCAGACAGAATCAAGCCATAGAGCACGATTGGGAAATGCGATGATGGAAGAAATACACTAACATGTCTTATGGATTCAAGGAGGACAGGTGGCAGCGAAGAGCAGATGGTCTGAATGAGGCTCTCCAAAATGAAAATTGAAAATGAAAATGAAAAAAAGAAAGCAAAAAAGAAAAAGATAAAAGAAAAGAAAACAAGCAATGAACAAAACTGTAGAGGGCTGTTTTTTGTAGATGAGATGTGCTGTGGATGAAGAAGCGGGAGCAGGGCGGTGGTTGACGTTGATGTAATGTACCCCCGCAGCAAGTTTTCCTAGTCGAATACATGCTAGCTTTTGGCTGCGGGAAGCAAAGGCCGGAGTCCGGGCCGGGGCAAATGTACTGTGTTAGGCTTAGTCTAGTCTTGGCATATAATTCCGCGGCTCTGGATTGTCACTTTCTCCAATTAGCCCGGGAAAAAAAGGAATGCATATCAGCGGTACCTGGGTCACGTCAAATGCTGCAGCTGGTCCAATCTTTGGGTCACTCCTACAGGAAAATGCCCGTGATGTCCATGACCCAGATCATTGACTCGCCAGCTCGTGAGGAACAAACAGCATGCTGCTTCAGAACCCTGCCACACACACTCCAAAAGGAGAATGACAGCAAGACGCTCAACGTGCCCTGGTCGGCCCATGTCATTTTAATCAAAGGAGCGGGGGGGGGAGGGGGAAGGAAGGCGGGGGAGAAATCTCATCTTTTCCCTTTTAGGGATACTACCAAGCAAGCTTCTGACAATTGCAGGCAGACATTTGCTATTATTCGAACACTGGTAAAATCCACCAGCTTATATGTTGGTCCGGGAATACATATATCCAAGGAGAATGCAGTTAGCACTCAGCGTTGATAAGTTTCGCTAAACCGCCAATATTGGAAGTCCGCTCTCTGCATATCGCTGGAAAACTGATGGAAAAATACATATTTCAACATCCTGGCATATCATGGCAAACGGAGATGCATATCCGCTAGTCTATATCAGTACTAGGAGCCAACATGCAAGACATCCATCTATGAGATCTATCACTTATTTCTTTTCTAATCCCAGCGGTTTAGACCTGTCAATTTTTACTGGACTCAGACATATCTTGGCAGTCCTAGGGTCCAAGGGGATGTCATGCGGCACATGTGAGTTCCTAAATATATATTTATATATATACTTATTAATTGGGGGGAAGGGCTGGAGTGGTAGCTCTGGATGGAGATTGTATGTTGTACGACGAGCTGGGCTTTCTTACTAGCAAAAATGCATGATGAATTACATATGAAAGAGATGATTCGGATGAGCTTGGAAGCTGTTGCCAACCAACGTTCAGCGACGCTAAGGAGGCAGTATCCCCTCAGAACCAGCCGACATGGATATTTTCAAAGCCCGATTAGCTCAAAATCGAGAACGCTCCACGGCACGCAGATGAGACAAGCTAATGACAAGTTGAATTGAAACAGGGGAGGAAGAGAAGCAAACTGGAGAAAGGAAGTTTAACTTCCTTGAATAAATCATAACCAGGTGCAATTTTATCCAATATCGCATATTATTTTATCATTATAAGAACAATGAAAAGCAGCATAAAGGACTCCCATAATCCGGATCGCGCATCGCCAATGTTCATCGCCTGGGGTAACATCTGCGTCTAGCTTCCCCAAGCAAGAGAAATGGCAACACTTGCAAGAAAATATATGGCTGAACTATCTAAAATTGTGGCACCAAATGGGTTTTTCAACAAAGAACCACCGTTTTTAGATGGTGATGCTGATGGCGCTCCGGAGCTCGTGGGTGACTTCGTCGGATTAGATGTAGGGCTAGATTTTTTTGTTTCGAGTGGAGACATGACCTGCGGCATATCAATGATTGAGTTAGAACCTAATTTGCTCTGTGATGATATTGAAACCTGGGAGGCAGAAGGGATTTTGCTCGAATGCTCAAAAAAGAAGAATGATTGCACGAACCCTGTCAACAACCTGGATAACGCCGTTGTTGGTCCTGGGATTTAAATTGGCAGCCATATGTTAGTTGACGTTTTCCTTGAACTTTACATGTGGCATCACCACAAAGGCACAAAACGTAATATACGCGGCGGGAACAATGACCCAATAATGAGGTGGGTAAGCTGAACTCACAAAACGTTCTTCTTGACCAATTTGGCATCGTTAAAGAAAATACCCGTGGCATTAACTGTTACCAGGATGGTGTCATTGCTAACTGTTGTGAAGATTTGACCGTCTGCTAGGAAATTGGTATAAACCGGTTCCGTGAGAGTGTGGAAAGTAAGCGCCTTCGTCAAATCGCCGGATTCTGCTTTTTCATCGGGATTGCCTGCTTGCTCAAAGGCATCATCTGTCGGACCGATGCAAGTAACATTTCTTAAAGTGTCCAGTACAGGTCCAAGGCTGGTCCGCCTCAGCGCCAGGCTGAGAGACGTGAGATCTTCGCTTTCGATGGTCTCCGTGCAGACCCTTGGAAGGGTGAGGAGACTTTTTTCCACCTCGCGCCAAAATTAGTGTCAGCATACCGCAACCAATCTGGCTAAAAACTAATAGACTTATGGGACGGTAACGAGTTCTGTGAAAGTGGCAGATAAAATATCATACCCGTCAACCATATGAAACAGGCCTCCATCCCATTTCCCGTCGAGAAGAGTCACCGTGACAGATTCGTGCAAACCTGACAACACATCGACTTCCTCCTGCTGCCTTTTCCGTGAGCTGCCTGCTGATTGAGGACTCATGATCACAACCTGTCCGTCGTTATTCTCCCCCGCATCGTTTTGAGCGTCCAATGCGGGACCTGCGCTTCGATTGTTGTACTTCTCCTCCATAAGATCGGTTGGTATCACCAGGCGATTAGGGGGTGCAGAGAGGAGTTGTGCTGCCGGCAAGCTTCGAGATAGGATATGGTATCTCATGATAGCTTCCAGTTCTAAATCTGGGATGTCTGCGATTTCCAAGTCGCCGTTGGTAGCACGATAGGCAACGAATGCATCGTCACTAGGAACGAGAAATGTGAGCCGTTGAGAATTATCAGAGGCTCCGGTCAACAGGCGAGCAATGTTAGACTTGTTTAGAAGCAGCGAGCGAAATTGAGATAGAGCGGGATATCCGCTCAAGGCCTCGACCAACGGCTCCGCGTGCGAAATGGCGGGAAATAATATCACGGACAGTAATAAAATGTGCTGCCAAAGCAGTCGTCGAATAATCCCCATTGTAGCCACGGGCTAATTTCCTCTCGAAGCACCGCGTTGCAAAAACAAATTCAGCTTCTTTAAATAACAACCAACGTGAGTTCAAGGAATAATTTCTCATCCATAACTTAGGCGAGAGCTCCTAGGTTATAAGGTATCGCGGTATAAAATATTAAGAGGGGAACAAACTATCCCCTGTTGTCCACTGCCACCGCCGGCTGGCCATGCTGGACAGTTATCTCAAGTTCTGTGTCCAATCAAAGCTTGCGTTTCTACGTTGGAACCCAAATCACCAACATCCAACGGCTCCCCTTAGGTTCTGGCTTGCTTTTCTTGATATCATTGGGGGATGAGAACAAGGCTCCTCAGCCTCCGCCACCGAAGAGGAATAACGAACCGAATGCGTCCATGTACAGGATGTCCTCTGATGGTACGGAGTAGTTTTCATGCATACATGGATTAAGGCTTGCACCCCAAACGTCTTTCTACCCGTAATTCAAAGGAATTGATAATTACACCGCTTACCATGGCTACTTTACACCACCAACAAATCGACTAACTTTCATAAGGAAGAGCGCATACTTGCCCTTACATACAAAATAACCAGTATTCAAATGTTGTTTAAATGAATCAGGGGAATATCTACATTGCTGCTCAACTCTGCGATCTGTGAAATCCCTATAACAATGCCCTCTGTGGTGGTAGGATAAATTTATTCATGGGCGAAGTTGGCAGTGATCATCATGTCAGGCATCCCTAATAGCAAAGAATAGAATGAAACTCCCCAGGTGGCTCAAGGGACTGCGCAAACCAAGCATTACGAGGTGCAAGAAGGCTTCCTGGTATGGGCGGCTTCTCTAGGACTCGCTTGACCTGCCAGGGTCGGATCCTTTAACAGGTAGAGGAAGTTAGATCTCAATGATATGGTAAACCCTCTGCTCTGATGTCAGTTGATAGGCAATTGATTTTGCGGCCTTGGTGGGGTTGGAGAAATCAATTTCTGACTAACCTCTGATCAGTGGGGGAATTTTTGTCCCACACACAAAACAATATCGCCCCGGGGAGTAAATATTTGAACAGTTGTCGTACAAACTTCAGCCAAAAAGATATATCAAAATACACTCTACGAGATTCTGTAAGCGGCCCTAATACGATTGGCCTATTCGCAGTTCCTTCAAGGCATGCATTCGGCACATTCATTTGGTGAAACAATGACGGTTCACGAATTGGGTTACGAGATGGATACATATCTAGACGAAGCGTGTGAAACAGCTGTTGTAGATGCAAATATGGAGAGCGAGCCCTTTCTCGCATCAATCCCTAGTAGCACCACATCTTGGGTTGCTCCCAAAGGCTTCATATGGATTGAAATTGGTAAGAAATCTTCTATTACAGCACCCAGCACAACAGTGGTAAAAAATGTTGTTTGGTCACTGTCGCTAACCTGCTCTCAACAGCGATATTCGCAAATGTATTCCTATCGGGCTTTGATGGGACTATTACAGCGTCAACATATGCTGTAATCAGCTCCGAGTTCAACGCTGCCAACAATGCTTCCTGGCTGACGACCTCCTATTTGATCACAAGCACTGTTTTCCAGCCCTTGTACGGCCGATTCTCCGATATTTTCGGTCGGAGAGCTTGTTTTTTTACCTCGACCATTACTTTTATGCTTGGTTGTCTGGGCTGTGCTCTGGCCCCAAACATCGTGGTTTTAAATTTGATGCGCGCAGTAACTGGTCTGGGAGGGGGTGGGTTGATGACGATGGGTGAGTAAAAGCACTCCAAGATTCCAATTCACTTACGGCCCTATGTGCATACAATGACCTGATTCTCGGAATGTATCCAGCGACAATAATAAATTCAGACATGATTCCTTTCAAAGAGCGAGGGATGTATCAAGCGGTCCAAAACGTCTTGCACGGATTCGGGTCGATTTGCGGTGCGTCGATAGGCGGATCGATTGCAGACACGATCGGATGGCGATGGTGTTTCCTATTGCAAGTGCCAGTGTCAATTCTTGCACTAGTAGTCGGTCATCTGGTAGTTATAAACCAGTCTCACTATCAGAACGTAAATCGCGAGGCGTCCAAGACCACACTATCTGCGATTTGGAACCGTGTCGACCTGTCCGGTTCCTTCTTGTTGATCGTAGGATTAAGCAGCCAACTTGTGGGGCTCGGTCTGGGCGGTAACGAGCTACCCTGGAGCAGTCCCTGGGTTATTCTATACGCCTTGTTGCCAGTGTCCTGATTCTGGGACTGTTTTTATACGTG